GCCATCCTATTTGGTAAAAAAAAAAAAAAAAAAAACCTGCATTATTACTTTTTATAACTGTTTATTGTTGTTGTTGTTGTTGTCCACTGTTGTCATCATTCTTTGTTGAAATCAGGTCTCTCTTGTAAATGAGTCCCCGAGGCTCAATGGGATTTACCTGTCTAAATAAAGGCTGAATGAATTTTGAGCTTGCACAATGAAATCAATGAGAGTTTGTGTGTGTGCGGGGAATTTGTGAGAAAATCACACCGTGTCACACACAGTGAAAAAAAAAGATCAATATTTTACGTATGGACTGCAAGAAGTCAATGTCTGTATGAGCAAGAACAGTTTACAAACACTTAGGAACGTCACAGTTAGTATGTCATCATTATACTCAAACTGAGAGAAATTTTAAATGGGGGTGGGCATGGCTCTTGTTTACCATCGCCACACTTCCTGTCACCAGTGCGTCCCAGTGCGTCCCTTCTGCGATCTTGTGGTTGACAACAGAAATTGAAAGAAATAAAGAGAGAGAGAGTAAGAACTTCTTCTTCTTTCGGTTTTTCCCTCTTCAGGGATCGCCACAGCGAGTCATCCTCCTCCATCTCACTTCAGAGAGAGAGAGAGAAAACAACAACAACCCCAAATCAAAAAACACACTTTAATACATACCCTATCCCCTAAAAAAAGTGACAAAAAAGAAAACCACCAGGGTTCTCAAACTTGATTTATAAGGAGAAACTAATCACATATCTTTCAATGCCACATGCAGAGACTTGTCAATCAGCTGGGTGGCCAATCAGGTTCCAGGAGGGGCAAGTGCCACCCTGATCTTACCTCTGGCTCACCCAAAATCCTGTAATTGTCTATGAAGACGTTTTCCCACAGATTTTGTCTATGCGTTCAAAGTACTATCAAGAGTCAAAACACACTGTTCCTTATTGAGCAGCACATTTTGATCTATGTTCCCGTTTTTTATTTTCAAAACTGCAAAAGCTGAGGTCAATCAAAAACTGACAGAAACAGAAGACCAGTGGTTGACTGGGAGCATCATGTGGGTACTGATTCAACATTTACACTATTGCTTTCTGGGTTATTTTATATAGCAAAAAAAAAAAAAAAATCACCCTAACTGGGAACAGTGTGCTATGAGATTTAGTATTTGCTACTTTTGTACTTTTTTAAATTATTTAAATGTATTCCTCCCAAAAATTACCCACAGAAATACATCTATGTGTTTTTTATTTATTTAAAACATTGTTCACTGCAATCTACTTCAGCATAGTTCCTCTGTTTTTGTCTTCTGTGCACCTTTTAGCTCCTTCTATGGGTAATTTTAGCTTTTATCAGTTTTTTTAATCTTAGCTTTTAACTATGATTTGGAAGTCACATTGTTTTATAAGATGAAGGAGATGGTCGTGGGCATCAGATGGAACCCCCCCCACCCCAAGTGGTCTCCAGCTACAAGTACAAACCGGATTCCAAAAAAGTTGGGACACTAAACAAACTGTGAATAAAAACTGAATGCAATGATGTGGAGATGGCAAATGTCAATATTTTATTCGTAATATAACATAGATGACAGATCAAAAGTTTAATCTGAGTCAATGTAACATTTTAAAGGAAAAATATGTTGATTCAAAATTTCAGTGTCAACAAATCCCAAAAAAGTTGGGACAAGTAGCAATAAGTGGCTGGAAAAAGGAAATTGAGCATATAACGAACAGCTGGAAGACCAATTAACACTAATTAGGTCAATTGACAACATGATTGGGTATAAAAAGAGCTTCTCAGAGTGTCAGTGTCTCTCAGAAGCCAAGATGGTAAGAGGATCACCAATTCCACCATTGTTGCGCAGAAAGATAGTGCAGCAATACCAGAACGGTGTTACCCAGCATAAAATAGCAAAGACTTTTAAGTTATCATCATCAACCGTGTATAACATCATCAAAAGATTCAGAGAATCTGGAACAATCGCTGTGTGTAAGGGTCAAGGCTGTAAAACTCTACTGGATGCTCATGATCTCCGGGCCCTTAAACATCACTGCACCTCAAACAGGAATGCCACTGTCAAGGAAATAACAGAATGGGCTCAGGAATACTTCCAGAAAGCATTGTCAGTGAACACAATCCACCGTGCCATCTGCAGTTGCCAGCTGAAACTCTACAGTGCAAAGAGGAAGCCATTTCTAAGCAAGCTCCACAAGCTCAGACGTTTGCACTGAGCCAGGGGTCATTTAAAATGGAGTGTGGCAAAATGGAAGACTGTTCTGTGGTCAGATGAGTCACGATTTGAAGTTCTTTATGGAACACTGGGACGCCATGTCATCCGGACCAGAGAGGACAAGGATAGCCCAAGTTGTTATCAACGCTCCGTTCAGAAGCCTGCATCACTGATGGTATGGGGTTGCATGAGTGCTTGTGGCATGGGCAGCTTGCATGTCTGGAAAGGCACCATTAATGCAGAGAACTATGTTCAGGTTCTAGAACAACATATGCTCCCATCTAGACGTCATCTCTTTCAGGGAAGAACCTGCATTTTTCAACACGATAATGCCAGACCACATTCTGCAGCAATCACAACATCATGGCTACGTAGGAGAAGGATCCGGGTACTGAAATGGCCAGCCTGCAGTCCAGATTTTTCACCTATAGAGAACATTTGGCGCATCATCAAGAGGAAGGTGCGACAAAGAAGGCCCAAGACGACTGAACAGTTAGAGGCCTGTATTAGACATGAATGGGAGAGCATTCCTATTTCTAAACTTGAGAAACTGGTCTCCTCTGTCCCCAGATGTCTGTTGAGTGTTGTAAGAAGAAGGGGGGATGCCACACAGTGGTAAAAATGGACTTGTCCCAATTTTTTTGGGATTTGTTGACGCCATGAAATTTGGAAACAACAGATTTTTCCCTTAAAATGATACATTCTATCAGTTTAAACTTTTGATCTGTGATTTGTGTTCTATTCTGAATCAAATATTAGATGTTGGCACCTCCACATCATTGCATTCAGTTTTTATTCACAATTTGTTTAGTGTCCCAACTTTTTTGGAATCCGGTTTGTACTTGTAGTGTGCACCTGAATGACAACCTCAGCTGGAGCAACAGCACCACCAGCCTGATGAAGAAAGATCATCAGAGACTCTACTTCCTCAGGTGGCTGAGATGCGCTGGACTGTGAAGCTCAGTCCTCACCTCCTTCTACAGGTGTGCAGTGGAGAGCATCCTGTACTCCAGCATCAACGTGTGTCATGGAGGCTGCACAGCTGCAGAAAGAAAAGCTTTGCCGAGAGTGGTGAAGGCTGCACAGAGAATGTTGGAGTCAATCTCTCCACCATCACAGACATCTACACCTCCAGATGCAGGAAGAGGGCCACCTGCATCATGAAGGACCCCACTCACCCAGCACACACCTTTTACCCTGCTCCCTTCAGGCAGGAGGTTGAGGAGCATTAAGTGTAGAACCACTAGACTGAGGAACAGCTTCTACCCTGAGGCTGTTGGACTCATGAATCTCGAACCAGAATAATCACTGTGAAAAAAAATCACTGTAATGCCTGTTGATTGTTGATATGTGCTGCTGATTATCCATGCTGCTGCTCTCATGCTGCTGATTTATTTCATGCTGCTGTGTTCAGTTCATCACATGTTGTTCGGCGTATCGTTTTTGTGCTATTAGTGCTTAGCGTATTCTAAGTTTAGTTCATGTCTTAGATCTTTTTACCGTTTTACTTTTACAATTCATACTTGTGTTGGATGTAACTGGGAACCTGTGCACATAATTTTGTTCCATCACATGTACCACGCGTGATGAGAATGACAATAAAAAACCTTGACTTGACTTATGTAGCTAACACTTTAGCAATAGTTTAGTTTATTTTAGCTTCTGTTCCGCTTCTTGTTAACTTAATTCTCCAGCTGAAGGCGTTTCCTTAAAGTTGTGCATAAACAAAGTGAATGCTGTAAAAATCATTACATCATAATTAACTGTTGACACTTCTTACCAAGTCTTGGAAAATAGGACAGAAAGTTAAAATTGTGGACATTCGCGTGAACTGTCTTCTCGTTGTGTGCTCTGATAAATAAGTGAGGTCAGCAGAAATCGGACCGTCTGCTGAAAGAATGCACTGCCGTCTGAACGGGGGACACTAAAAGAAGACAAAGGGGGGCTGGCAGGGGGACAGCTGACTGATTTCTGAAGCTTCGGACGACCACACAGCTGAAGCGGCTGCCTCGGTGAGAATCGGGGGAGCAACAGGACACAGCAAACATCAGAAATGCAGCTTTTTGCACTGTCTTTATGAAATGCTGCTGTTTACTTCAACAGATCAATCATTAGTTTGTGACATGAAGAGGCTTAAATGTATTTATGTTTTTATAAATGTGGTTATTTTGAGCACAGTCCCAGTTACACTCACCCATGAGTGTCACAGCTATCACAAACCCACAGCTCTATCACCTTTCTAAATATAAACCTGGGCTTCGACTCTCCCAGAATGGAAGTTGAGACAGGCTCTTGTGTGACCTAAAATTAGCCCCCACCTACCCCCCAAGAAAGAGGCTTTGGCCCTCATTGTCACTTACACATACACAAAGAGCACATACTGGATTTCTCCCAGCTCATAGTAGAAGCTCCACACACTCCCTGGTGGGTCTTTCCTTCTTCATGTGACAACGTTTTGAAAGTTTAACTCTGATTTCTTTGGAACTCGAAGCACCACGTTAAGGTAGGTGTCCCGTTCCTGTAGATCCCAGTTTGTTTTAATGGTGACAGAGCATTCCCACTCCAAACCTTTATACTTGGCTGAGCTAAACAAGCGAGACTGAATATCACGAGTCCACCGTCTCACTGCAGATGGAGCGAGTTTGATTTTTGGAGCATGGTCCTGAGACAAGCTGTCAGCATGAGTTTGATGGACATTTCAAAGATCTTCTCGCTGCTCCAGCCTAAGGACGAGGACGAGGATGGCGAGCTGTGTCAGGCTTTGAACAATGCTGTGAGCTGCGACGACGTGGCTCTGCTCTCTGAGCTTCTGTCCCAGGAGGACTACAGGAGGTGCGTCAATGCTCGGAGCGGTTGGGGGGTCCCTGTGACCCCACTGCGCACCGCAGCTGCTCTTGGACACCTAAGGTGCCTGGATCTGCTGTTGGAGCATGGTGCAGAGGTGAGATCAGTGGTGGACACAACCGTCTTGTTTAATAACCTGTGTCATCTGTCTCAGCTCATGGCCAAGACTAATTTTCTACACTATTTCTGTCATTTTAGTTAATTTATTAGCAAAATAGTGTCAAAAAGAGATAAATAACTGTTTCTAAATGTCCAAATTAACATGTCCACATAAAGCAAACACGTACTAAATGAGTATCCACTGTGTTTTAAAATGGACTGATTATTCTGAGTCAATGGTGAATCAGCAGGTTTTGGTAATGGAGCAGTCAGCCAGGAGCACAGTGTATTACATTAAAGAGATTATTTAGGTCTCTTGACTTGAGGTACGGCAGAAAAGTTATTAACAAATAATATTTTACATGTTCTAGTTAGCTTTTAAAACGACCTCATTAAAAAAAAAAGTTTATTTCTGTCACGATTGATAAGCTAATGGCTAGTCAAACTACAAGAGATTGCTGCTGTCTTAACTTCATTGTCAAATGTTTTTCCTCAGTTCAGTCAAGCTTTGTTTACTAGTGATAGTGAGATGTACTGATTCACGGATGTGCACATGCACTCTATATTAATAGAACAGCTGTGCACCAGTGCAGCTTTGGGACTAAATTTAGATGCATCATTGAATTGTTTTTTAAATAATGAATTTAAATCTGTTAACAATTAAGACACAATATAAAAAAAAGACAACAATCTTAAAGTGTGCTTATGTTTCTTGGGTAAAGAACTCATTCCTTCTATTTCAGCTGTTCTTTTGGCTGATATTCCTGCTGTTTAGCAGTATTGTTTTTAGTGACACCTACAGGTCAGAAGGAGAACTGCAGCAGCTTTAGCGTAAACTGCAAGGAAGCCTCAAATGAACTGTGTTCACTTCAGAAATACTGTACATCTGCTATTGGCAGGTTTCTAAAGTTTGCACTAAGCTTTATTTCTTGTGTATTAGTTATTAATTGTGAATCAGGTTTTATGAAAATGTTTTGAAATATTAAAGCAGGACTAGGATATTGGACCGTAATGTCTTACAAAACAACAAAGGCAGCCAAATTACATATGTTTTGTTTTCCTTTAGTTTTTATTGTCTCCACATACCTTACATGTCTTGAATAAAGCAAATTAAATGAACAAATTAATTTTAAAGTGTGTGGATATTTAGTGTAGTGAGGCCAATAAGAATAGCAGCTGCAGCATTTTTGACAGGAATATATAATTCTGCATGAATAACTGTAACGTGAAGTTGATGACAATGTAAAGCTTATGAAATTGTGCTCACACAAACTGCTTCAAAGTTTTTGAGGTCAGACTAGCTGACGTCTGTACGATTAAGAATAAACTGAAATTCTCCAAAATAAGAGCGTTCAACAAAAAGGTACAATATTACATGATTAACAAATAAATGATCACTAGAAAGGGCTGAAGCTAAAGGATGAATCTATAATCTTACTTACCATTGTCACCTCCATCATGGATTTGATGAGTGACTGAAACAAATCATATATTTGGGTATAAAATTGTTGAATATATTATATATGAAATGAGAAGAGACAACACATGGTTAGCCTGGATGTGGAAAAAGACTGCACAAAACACAAGTACAAAACTAAAAACTGAATAAAGTTTGACTCAGCACAACACAACACAGCACAACACAACACATTCCAGAAAACATCCCTATATTTCAAGGCTAAAACAACAAAGTTAAAATAAAAATCTAGGAACAATAAGTAATAGTACTGTTTTAGTCTCTTTTAGCACTTCTTGCTCATTTTTAAATGTATTTTGCAGTTTCACATTTTGTTGAGTGCCATCTTGTTATGATGTTCTGTGATGTTTTAAGAACTGTCTTTGACGTTGCTCCTCTCTGGATCCAGGTCGATATTTTAGACGTGAAGGCCCAGACGCCTCTGTTCACAGCAGTCAGCGGGAAACATCTGGACTGTGTGGCGGCCCTGCTGAAAGCTGGAGCCGACCCCAACGGCAGCCCGTACAACAACTGCTCCCCTGTGCTGACGGCTGCCCGAGAGGGTGACGTGGAGGTGCTTCGAGAGCTGCTGCGCTTTGGAGCCGAGGTGGACGTCAGACCCAAAGTCCCCGAATGGGCCTCCAACGCCACGACCTGCAGGGGCCCGCTCTACATCTCGGCGGTTTACGGCCACCTAGACTGCTTTAAGCTGCTTCTTTTTCATGGGGCCAACCCCAACTACAACTGCACAGATGAGAAGATGCTGGCCCGGATCAAGCAGCCGAAGACAGTCCTGGAGGTGTGTCTCCGTTACGGCTGCGGAGTCGAGTACATTCAGCTTCTCATAGACTTTGGGGCAGATGTGTGCTTACCTACACTCATCATCGATAAAACCACAAAGCAAAACGAAGCTCTGCTGCTGCTACTCAAGGCCAGAGGTGGGACTGATCATTCTCAGTATGACTCTTAGTGAAATACCTCCTTTATACTGCCCATAGGAGAAAGAAACAGCTTTTGCCCATGTCTCTGTTTATTCATCTGTTGTGTTAGCAACATATCGCATGAACCCCCTGATGGATTTGATTGAAAACAGCTGTACAGATATCCTGCCGCATGCTCAATAGATAGAAACAAATATAAAAAAGTTAAGGCAGGTCCTCAGGATGGATTCTTCTTGTAGAGACGTTTCATCTTTAATCCAAAGGACTTCTTCAGTCTGAGGAGCTGCAGCACACTCAGTCTTATAAATAGCATCTTATAGTGGATCACCCAGTTGGCTGGTGACCATCTGTCACTCCCTTACAGTGCTGTTATTGCAAGTTCAGGGGCGCACATAACTGGTACACATGCGCAACAAAAATCAGGAATGCGTAGCATCACCTGTGTAACCGCATGCCTTTGTGTATTTGACCGTGGGATCGGGATATTTCCTGGTGGGCTGGTCTGATGTGTGGGCTGCAGGGCCGGTGCTCCGTTTTTTTAAGAACTTTTTATTAACATTAAATCTCAGAACACCACTACCGCTGCTCCTGGGCCGCCCCGCCTCCACCCCGGGCCGGCGGGCAATGGCAGTTTTTTGTTGCACAAGTCGGATCCGCGACACGACCTGTCAATCAATCCAGTAGGTGTGTCAGCAACCGACTAATCGATGACTTCATTTTGTCCTGAAGGTAAACGAGTCTTACCTGCAGATATATGCAGCCCATCTGTTTTTTTCTCTCTAGAACTTTATTGACAACACAAAACAGAACAATGCAACAAGATACAAATACAAACTCGTGAAGGAAGTCAGAACTAGATTTCACAAAAGTTTTTTTCTTTTTACAAAATAATGAAAGAGAAAAATAGACCAAAGACAAGGAGGTTCATCTGCATCATCTACCATGCAGGAAGCTGAAGCAGAGGATAGTGGGAGTGACACTGAGGACAATTATTAAAACAAAGCTGCATATGGGGTGAGTACCAAACATCATCTCCTGAGGAGCCCACTAAAGAAGTTCTGTGCACCCCTGCAAGTATCACTCTGCGAATAGCAAGCGGCCATCAGGGCACTAACAATCGGTTGTTGGGCTGATGGTCCTCCTTTATCATATGAACAGCTGGTTTTGTCTGTCAGCAGCAAACTGGTTGATCCACTATGAGGAGGTGCTATTTATAAAACTGAGTTTGTTGCAGCTCCTCAGACTGAAGAAGTCCTTTGGATAAAAGATGAAACGTCTCAACAAGAATCCATCCAGAGGACCTGACTTCACTTTTTTACACAGCTGTACAGACATTCAGCAAAAATAGCTGCGTCTTATCACCAACTCATGCTGATCACAAAAGATTTGTTAAAACTTTGCTAATAACTTGGATGGGTTGCGACAGACTCGTGACCTGTCCAGGGTGTACCCCGCCTCTCCCAGTGACTGCTGGACATGGGCACCAGTGGCCCAGAAAGGAAGAAGCTGGTAAAGATAATTGCATGGATAATAATTTGGAGAAGAATGTCCACCACAGCTGATCTTATTAATCTCAAAATTGGCCGTAGGTCTTTAGACACTGGATACATTTGATGGGCCTCAACACAAACTTTAAGCACGAACAGATCATGTAAGAGTCACGAGGCGTGCGATCACGAGTAATTCATTTACAAGATTTGACCCAAACTGCCATCCCTTCTCATCGTTAGATGCTCTTAGTGTCAAACTCTGGCGTGAAAGGTGGTGAAAACACGCATTCCTTCAAAGAATCAAGGCTTTAAATCTTCTCATTCTGTCACTTCTTGTATTTTCAGTTTGTCCCAGAACACTGATGTCACAAGCTCGACTGGAAATCCGAAGAGGCCTCCCTTCAGCCAATAAGGATCCTGCCATAGACAGTTTGTGCATTCCTCTGAGCCTGAAGAACTATTTAAAGCATCGCACCTCTGAACTTGGGACTTGCTGAAATCTTGTGACCCGGGACCACTTTGGACTTTTATATTTCCAACAAGCGGCGAAAACCAAGATAATGAGTTTATATTGACAGATGTAGCTCAGTGGAGTTTGTTTTGCCAACAAGGACAGAGGATCATCCATGTTGAACCTGTCACATCAAGACCAGCCACTAGAGACCACAGTAACTCCACACTGTGCCATTTCAGCCTTCTCCCGAGCAGCGCCGATCATCTGTTGAGCCATTTCTTCTTATTCATTCCCTCATCAGCTTCAGCTCTCTTCCTTTTCACAGGTGACTTGACACAATCAGATTTCCTCCCACTTCATTTAGACACAACTGAAGAAACACATGCACACACAGGCTGTGCACATCACACCGGGACATCTCAGAGCTCGCCAAAAACAGACAAGCGAGAGCGAGGAAAAAGGAAAACGAAGCTTGCATCTTTGGACTTGAAAACATCAGGAAGCGGAGTGAACAGCCTGCACTTCAGCATGGCCAAGTGGGAGAGATGTTTGCGTAACTCTCATTACTTATTCATCGCAGCAGTTCTGTGCAAGCTACGATCTGTGAGCGGGAGAGTTATTGATTTATTTTGTGACGTGATGCTGTTCTCCTCGCCGCCCTTTCATCTCTCCATCCTTTGTAAAATATCCTGGAGTTAATGTGTCAGCTGCTGGGAATGGCCGCAGCAAACAGGAGATGATGTCACACAGCAGGAAACTCAGCACAATGCTCTCGACACGGCGTTCTGCAGAGGTTTTATTTTCAACAAAAAGTACAGCTATATCAGATATGGATTTATTTCTCTCTTTTTTTTTTTTTTTTGTTTTCTTTACAGCGAAGTACAACATATTCCCAGTGCTTTTGAATACATCAAAACATAGAATGTACATACAGTTGACATCTCCACTCTCCCATTCACAGTTTCTGGATTGAATAGGCATTATTTTTCAGGTTTTTCCATTTCTACAACAAATAAAAAGGCCAGCAAGAAAGAAAAAAAATATATATATATATGTTTGCATATGGTGTTAAAGGATACTGTGAATAAACATTTGTGTGACAGAAAAATGCAGACCTCAAACTAGATGATAATATACAATGAACAGGTTCCAAAATACTGGGAAGCGAGTCTTCTTGATGTCTTTGAACACCACATGAACATATGGCTCGTTGAAGACCTGTACCATGACTGTTCTGAAACAACTTCAGCTAACAAAGAACGAAAAGAAAGTCTGTCCTCTTTCAGTTTTAGGGTCTTATAAATCAAGATGTATATTAAAAAAATGATCTGATCTTTACCAAGTTTTACAAATAATGAACATCTGACCTTAAATACACAGAAACACTATCAGTTGTAGCTTTGCTGCTGTGTTTGGGTTCTTGTTGCATCATGACCCAGTTTTACCTGTTGGACAGAGTCCAGAATACTTTGGTTTACAGAGTTCACAGTCGACTCAGTGACCTCAAGTTGTCCAGTCCCTGTGGCTGCAAAACAAACCCAAATCATCTCACCTCCACCCCCGTGCTTCACAGTTCATGAGGCGTTTGTTTTTCTCTAAACATGGCGCTGTGCATTATGAGTGAACAGCTCTACTTTGGTATCTGTCCAAGGGATCTTGTTCTAGAAGTCTTGTGATTTGTTCAGATGCACTTTTACACACTCAGAGATGCTGCCATGTTCTATTAGAGAGAACAGGCTGGCAACTCTTCCACACTAAGCATTTAGTCCTTTTTCTAATTATCTACTCATGAACTTTAACCTTTAACCTGTGAACAGAGCGTCTGAGATAATGCTCTTGTGTTTCTTTTTAAATTTATTTAAGTATTGTACAGTCTGACCTTGGGGTAAATTTGCTGGAACACCTTGGAAGATGGGCTTAAACATTTTCTATTTGTAAATAATTCTTCTGTCAGTAGAACAATACACCTTAAATAATCTGTAAATGACCTTTAACCCTAGTCAGGTTTATAGGCAGCGAAAATGGCTTCACTGAGGTTATTGCTGACGTGTGTAATAACACACCTGTAAGCTCCAGAGCAGCACTGACCAAAAAGGTGCTCACAATGATGATGCTTACTGGTACGTATTTATCACATATGATCAGCAGCACCTGGCTGCTGCTTTTCCCCATTAAATCCAGTGGAAGAAACAAGTTTTTCCATTTCAATTCAGTTCAATTCAAAAATACTTAATAACCCTAACCCTAATAATCCCAAAGGGAAATTAAATGTTGTTGTAACTCATTATCCTCATTTCATTAAGAGTTGTTATAGATACTGATAGCTGTAGACAGGAAGGATCTCTTGTAAAGGTCTGTCCCACAGAGGATCTGAAGAATTTAGGCTTTGTCTCTTTTTGTTAAAAAATGTCACGGTCTAATCTCTTGTGTTTTTGTACACAAGGTTTAATTTGAATACCATATTTTTTGCTGTATAAGTCACACCTTTTTACATAAATTTGCAAGTCCTGTGACTTATATACCAAAGTGATTAATATATGTTTTTCCTCATATTTTTAACCAAATTTTTGACTGAGATATGACGATTTCATTCATTTTGACATGGAAAATATTGAACACTACCATTTTATGCCAATAGAGGGCCTTCAACTAGTATGGCAAGCCAAATGTCTCATTAATAGGTAAAAGTGGCTATTAATGAGACACTTTGCTTGCCATACAAACCACCTTTGTCTCGCTCCGGAACTCCTGGAGCAAACGTAACATCAGCTTCATTTTGCTGCACCGCCCAGGCGAAATGCATCTGATTTGACCATTAAAGTGCATTTATTAATGAAAAGTTCAACCGAGAGACACGTTTATTATAACTTTGAGCAAACAAATAATTGTTTTTAAGTGTTACTCTCGTTAAATTCTTGTTAAAGTCCACTTGTGCACGCTCCCGCGGATGCCATTTTGGCAGCCAATCGATTTTTGGCACAACACCGACCCACGTCCGGGTGGTCAGCGGTGATGCATAATAGATGCGACTTATGTGGCGAAGCAACTTATTTACGTTTATTCCCACTTTATTAGACATATTTAGACTGATGGTGGTGCAACGTGCACGAGGGAAAATACAGTAATTTTAGAACCTGCTAAAGACCAGATCAGTTTCATTATAACTTCATACATAAAACCTTAAAAAAGAGAAAAGGAGGACTTTCTTTTTTCCATGACTTTAAATGAATGTGGCTATTGAGCTAAAGGGAAGAACATAAATCTGAGCATCCCTAAATGAGTCTGCCAACTTGGCTGTCTTGCTTCTATGACAAGAAAAGACCAAAAAAAAAAAAAAAAGAAAGACCTCTTGGCTAATAAAAGAACGACTGATAATTATATAAGAAAAACCCAATATACACATTATTTAAACACTTTGGCCCAAATGCACCAAATTAATACTGCTGTCAATAAATAGTAAATTCTTAAAGTCAAGTCACTGTACTTATTTAAACAGGAGCATGATGTGAATTTCTATGACGTTCTGCATGGATTATGTTTACTTTGAGTTCATCTAGAGAGGTTTCTAAAGTTTTCAGCTCTGCTGCTTATGACTACAAATTTATACACAAACACCTCAGATCACAGTTAACTAACTCCTATTTGGTTCAGTGTTGTTCGTCGTAAAAAATTATACCCGTTTTGCCTCCGCTGATGATGGCACTCTAAAATGAACCAGCAGTCTGCAGCAACGACAGTGTAAAGCAACAACAACACAAAAAAAAAGGTGGGGGAGAAGCAAAGTTTTACATTTATGTTACAGCTTACCCAGTTGTTTTGGGCGCAGAGAACAGAAGTGTTTCATTCATCGGATGTTCAGCTTTCGAGTCAGCGAAGTGATAAAAAATAAAATAACACACAGTGAGCAGGATACAGGTGGACAGAGAAAACAACTCCCTTCAGTGAGATGGCATGGGTTCACAAATGAATGGTTCCACATTGTAGGGGGTGAAGAATAAATCAAACGACCTGGTAAGAGTTGCCTTAAGTCTCATGCAAAATATTAGATGCCACAAGCATGCATTTACCTGGTACTGATGTCTACCGCACGCTAGAACTGGAACAACATTCGTCTCCAACGCAAAATACCAATATCCAAATATATGATCTGTTCTTTGTACAGTATTTACAGTCTGTAGCTGATAAAGCTAAAATAGATGACTTCTTTTGATTCGTCACTCACTATTAATAAGCGTGAAACCTAACTTCAGTAATGTAAATCTGTCTTCTGCTATATATTTAAATTAAAACTACCTTTCAACAAGTGAAATAGATAATAAATCGAACTTATACGCTGTTTGAAATGAAAAGGAACAACTTCTTGTGCAATTTAATTATGCTATGCAAGTGGTGGTGAAAACATGAAGGCGTTTTAAATAGGCCTGTCACGATAACAAATTTTGCTGGGCGATTAATTGTCTCGGAAATTATTGCGAAAAATTTGACAATAATTAGTAATTATTATTAGAAGAAACGTTGGTTAATTTGTTTTGGGTGTAGCACCGTTTTTTGACCACCGTATGGCAGTATAAGTCTGTTTGAACTGAAGGATGGATAGTGAGGGAGCGAGCAGTGTGTCTCTTTAAGAAAAATGGGAGGGAGGCCCCTTCATGTGACGTGCTGACATGCTGATATGGCGGACGCTCGGTGCGGATTGAGCTCTTTAGCATAGCATTTTTCACACAAAAGCTTTTAATAAAAAAACAAAAACAAGTTCTCAGCTTCTTTTTGCAGAGAAAAACAACTTGTTATTCAAGGCACGGGTTTCAACCGTGAATTTTGGAGCTTTGATAAGACAGAGCCCCCCCCCCCCCGAGTTCGGCCATTTAGCTTATCTACTCAGCTTATCTGATTTGAACAATCCAAAAACATGATTTTAGATGGTTAAAATGGATTTTAAAGAGAAAAGAGAGAGGGAGGGGACAGTGAAGAGCACCAGCCTTTTGTCATCCAGTGTCTTCAGCAGAAAGAGAGAAACACGAAGAAACGATAAAGCCGATAAATGAAAACGAGGTCGACAATTTTCACTCAGCATGCGATTAACTGATTTATTGTTCATCGCGACAGGCCTAGTTTTGAACGTGTTTCAGTCAGGGAGCACAGGTTCTTCTCAGGTGGAGGGAGAACACAACAGCCTGACCTCGGAGTTTCTGTCCGAGTGGAAGCCGCATGCCGGGGAACGAGGGATTCCCCGTGAGAACGACAGCGAGAGAGAATGAGAGAAAGGAAGAAATGCACTGACGGGAAAATACATGACTAATAAATCTGCCAGTGACAGTGAAAAGATAATCACTAGTGGAATGCTGGAAGGCACTGTTAGATAGCATCTCTCTTCTCCGCAGCAGAACGGGCCAGCAAGTGGGCATGATTGTACGGCTCTGTGTGTGTTTGCCTGCATGCTTGTGTCTATATGTTGAATAAGGAGTGACTGAGAGAGTGGGGGGAGGGGTGGGGGTCTAGCATGGGACCTGAGGATATCATGGCCTGGGAACCAGATCTTTTTGCTTTGCCAGGCAAAAGAGAACTATCTTCCAAAACAATCTCACTGGGAGCCATCTCTGCAGACACCAGCAGCCAACTCACCCATTTCTCAGCTTTCTTTACTGAAACCAAACATAAATTACACAACAGAAAAAGCAACTCTAAGGTCTTCTTTCATCTCCAATAGGTTATAAAGCCTTTACGTAGGCAAACAAATGACAAAGAACAATACTTAACTCTTGTATATCACGTTGTTGTGACTAGTGAAGATATATAATGATATATCACATTGCACAAGTTGTCTATGCACTGTCCATCAGGTGGTATAATTCAACACAAACTGTACTTCTGAGGTCAAAAATAAGATTACGTAGCGTGGGCAGATGTTTCACTTACATTCCAAGAGTAGAAAACAACCTTCATGATGAGTGTGGAGAGTGTCTCCTCAGTCCCTTGCGTCCTCTCGTGTCCAGCGCTTCAGCAGAAGGCAGGATGTCTCGCCTCGCGGCCTCCGGGACATCGGTGATTAAACAAATCACTCTAATCAGGCCGCAGTCCATACGTGAATCACCTAACTGGAGCTAACTGCCAGAACATGGATCAGATGTGGCGGTGAGCCAAGATTAGGAGGGATTCTGCAGAGCTGCAGATCAGATTCACCTTTTTAGCTTAAAAAGAAAAATCTCATTGTTGGCTGGAGTCGTCACTAACACACATCTCAGATGAGAGCCAAAGATGTGAGCCGTGGTGTATTTTTACAGTGAGAACACTACAAAATCATCGAGTCTTTACATTTTTTTTTTGAGCAGGCGTGAAAAAAGTTTTTTTTTTTTTTTTTTAGACCTTGGCCGATGCATCACCTTGACTTTTACTGCTCACTCCTGGAGGTAGGCTGTGCTCTGTCCACACACCCGGCGAGCTGCCAGCACAGTGCTACGAGAGGAAGGGGGGAGGAGGATTCTGGTGAGAGCAGGGGGGGACACAAAAACACGTGGAGCAGAACCAGCATATCTCCTGCTACCAGATGTTTCAGCTCTCCGAATGAAGCGCACTGAGCATCAGCGGGATGTGAATACCCTGTCACGAGAGGTTGGTGAATGGATGTAAATATCCTATTGATTTGTTCCCTGACCCGTCTCCAAGTGAATGGAAATCCTCCTCTGAGAGCCGCAGAAGCAGAGCGGGTGGATCGAGAGATAGAGAGGACAAGAGGGATGAAGAGGAAGAAGACTTGACACCAGTGTTGCCAGATTGTGTGGTTTTCATTCCGATTTTGCTGGGAACTCTGGTAAGTTTTTGGTCGGATTGTTGCGTTTTGCCACATACTGTTAAATCACCTTGGCTTGTGCTGATGTGCGTTCATGTTCAAACAGTAAATATACTGTAACAATATACTGATTGGGCAGGTTTTTGGGTGAACTGGTGGATTTTAACAGATTTTTGGGGCTGGAAAACTTCGACTCTCTGGCAACGCTGCTTGACACCAACTTAAAAAGAAAAGAAAGAGATAGAGAGAAGGGGGGAATACTGTGCACACTGTTGGAGGAAAAAATGAGCATGGCAGTAAGGTGGAGATCCATCAGCAGAGATGGCCTGATCTGTGGGTGATCAGTGATGGGGATGATTTATCTTTTGGAGAACAGACGTTCCTGAACACAACACACCCCTCAGCTGAGGTCGTCATCAGTCGCTCTCACATTCAGAACAATCTCAAATAGCAGCACATCTCAGCTTCTGGACACAATTTCATTTTTTCCCTTCTTTCCTTTTGTCCAAAATGATGAATTAAAAATAAAACCATGTGACAATCTCAATATATATATATGTATATAACTCCAGAACATTCAGATGAATGTGCAGAATCCAAGGGAAAGAGTTCATGAGTCAGCAGGAGCAGCGTGATAACTAAGAACGTTACTAACAAATAGGAATTGTAAAGTTTGTTCTTTAAATCCAAGTCTTTAGTCCTCTTGGTGTTTCCGATCAAACGATGTAACAACATTGGTCCTTAACTTCAGAGTCTCGTGTGTGTGTGGTTTTTGTAATTTCTTCATCGTGGGACGATATCATCCAGTGTTTAGTGCTTCTAAGAAAAATAGCTGGTCCTTCAGAAGTGTCTTTGTGTCTATTTCTTAAAAGGAGCTAATCTACTAAAATTCTGCCAGAAAGGTGCCTGGCCTCTTTTGGATTGGCTGAATTCAAAAACTTCTCCTTGTGCCATGTCCTCCGTTACTTCATACTGCCCCGCGCTGAGGGGGTCCTGCGGGGGCGGGTATGAGGGGGGCGTGCACCTGTTTACACCTAGGAAGGCCGACGCAAACAAAAAGAGCAGGGAGGAGAAAGGGAGGGTGGGGGACACAGAGGTGTTGCATAGCACAAAGCAGAGGAGACAAAAAAGGGAGATACAAAATAATACATGTGAGTATTTTCTCTGAGACAGACCCAACAACACAACACCAAGGCATGCTGTCATAGGAAGCACAGAGACACACAACACGAGGCGTCCGTTTACATTCCTGCATTCTGAACCTGACATGTGACACACGTCGGTCATGTGATGACAGCTGAACTGGGAGAGAAGGGGAATTCAGCTCTAGCCATGAAACAAGGGGATGATGAAGATGCTATTCAGTCAAATTCTGGAGCCGACAAACAGGAGACCCTGCACCTAGAACCAGGCATGGGCCGGTTACTGGTTTCAAGGATTCCCACAGTGTTAAAAAGTCATGGTGTCGAAATCTCTAAATGTTTCCATCACACGATTCCTACAGTTTAAATGGCTAAAATTGAGAGAACAGAGGCAAAGTATGTTTTTTTTATTTATCCACGCTGAGCTTTTATTGTTTATAGAATGGTTCCTAAGCCAGGTCCTTGAGGAACCCCATCCTGCATGTTTTAGTTCAGGGCTATCCAACTGGTGGCCCACGGGCCACTTCAATCTGGCTCACTTCATTAGATAAATAAATAAATAAATAAATACATCTTTTTTGTTGTTGTATGTTTTGAGTTATGGATTCTGTTTATTGCATTTATGATTCAATGCATTATTATTTTTTTCCATTGACCCTTTATTTATCCAGGTAGTCTCATTGAGTCCTGAGAACCCATTTTCAAGAGAGACCTGTTTGTGGGAGCAGATGGTGGGGGTTAAGGGCCTTGCTCAAGGGCCCAGAGTGGGGCAAATGAGGGTGGAGGGAGGTGTGGGTGTTTCACCTTTTCCACCCACATTTTGATGTTGAAAGTACCGGGAGTTGAACCTGCAACTTTCCGATCACAGGCCCATCCTCTCTAACCTCTGCGCCACCACTCCCCAAAATAAACAAATTAAAAAAGTAACAGATAATTATAAACTTTGGTTTATTTACATAAATGATTTTAACTTCTGGATGTCCGGCCTGAAAGCTGTTGGCTTTCAGAAACTGTGCCCCCCCCCCCCCCCCCAAAAAAAAAGTAAATTTGTTGAATAGCCGTGTTGCAGTTGTTTCCCTGCTTTGACACATCTGATTTAAATGAATGGGTGGTTAACAGACTTCTGCAGAACATGAGGAAGTCATTAAATCACTGAATCAGGTGTGTTGGAGCAGAGAAACAACTAATGCAGGATGGTGTTCCTCAAGGACCTGGGTTGGGGATTACTGGTTTATCGTAGCCAAAGGGAGAATTTACCTCTTTTTTTTTGCTGTTAAAAAAAGGAGCTGTTGGGTAGTGGAACATTGTATCTAATGCTGTACACCCAGTTAGTCCTGGCTTGTTTACCAGAGAAGAAACACCCATTTCTCTTTTCAGGATTATACTATTATTAAACAAACGTTTTCAACAAGCTACAAGACTGAGCATGTTCCAGGGCGGCTACAGAGGCAAATTATTAACCCTGCTAATTATTTAGCTAACATTGGCATGCCAGTGTTACTTTACAAAGCGCAGAACAGCAGAGATGGAACAATTATTTATTTAGCTATTTGTGTGTATCTTGTGGAGCTGATAAGAAAACAAGACAACAGTTTTTCCTTCCTTTTTTCACGTGTTTTTCTCTATGGATCCACCTTTTTACAGGGAATATAACTACCAAACATAAAAGTCTCTTAACAGGGAAACTTCTGCGCCCTAATTCAACAGCACACATTTGTGTGAAGAACTTCCTACAGCGTTCATGATGAATTATGTCTATATTGGTCTCTATAATATTTAAAAAATATATCTGCTGACTTCCTGGTGACAAATTAAAAAAAAATCTCTAAATATGTGAGTAAATTACAAATTTTGCTTTCACTTTAAATATCTGTATCTGTTTGTGCTGCTGATTATCCATGCTGCTGATCTCATGCTGCTGATCTCATGCTGCTGTATTCATTCCCATCTTCGCACCGCAGACTCATGTTCGGGCTGCTGTTGTTGCGCCGTATTGATTTACATTGTACCATTTGGCGTTCGTTTGGAGTTTATCTTAGATCCTTATTTACTGTTTCTTTTTCCACTTTGTATTTTTCCTATTTTTGGGTGTGGGACCCTGAGTGCATGATTTTGTTCCACCTCATGTACCACATGTGATGTGGACAACAATAAACATGACTTGAACTTGTACCATTGTAAAAAAAATGGTATAAAAGTTGGTCACAAATGAGTTGAATCTGTCCAAGATTTGCATATTGATAGACTGTCATATTGGCACATACCTACCCAGAACAACGCTGAAACATGTTAACAGTTTTTTCACGTTTGCTGACTGCACATTTGTTTGAATAGCACCCATGACACTTTAAGACACGAGCAGCAAAATAGTCCACAGAAAGCTGCTAATATGCAATAAACTACAGCCTACTTCAGCTACAGTCTACAAGCATCACAACTATGCTAAGGGTAATTAGGAAACAAATTTATCGAGGATGAAATATTCAAAAGTTGCCATGGCATTTTTGGAAACAACAAAATTAAAACCCAAAGATCAACAGTGTCTTTAGTTTGTGGTTGGTCAAACACTGTTAGCTGTGAGAAAGGTTTGATCTGTTTGTGTTCGTGGCGCCTGTTTATCTTGGAAAGTCAAGATAATGCTTGTAAACAGGTTGGACAGTGATCGCATGCTCCCGTGCCAGCGTTAAACACAACACCTTCCAATGCTGCTTAGCAGTTGCCATGACATCTTATTGTTTGTGCTAGCTCTAAGGAAAACTTTGATGTACATATACCTTTATCATTTTCAAACCATGTCCATACAACATGGCCCTCTTTCTCAAGATGAAATCTATAAATGAATCTGAAATTCAAGAAAGTACTTCACCTTGTGCCAGCCATGTACACAGACAACACTTCAAAACACACATTAACGTCTCACAGACATCTACCGGGGACATAATGTCAAAGAGAACATTCCAGCAGTCGTCATTAGTTCAGTAATACCTTAATGGATGGGCATGCTTATTGAGCATCTGGCAAGAACATCAGTAATGGTAAAATGTACAAACATCCACTACAGCCTGGCATTTAAAACAGCTATATCTTAAAGGATGATACCAGCAGTGTGGATGTGTGGGTCCTCCGTTTTGACAGGAACTAGCATGCTAACGAACGTGTTTGACACATTTCTCTGTTACTGAGTCAGCGGGCAGATGTTTGTAAAAGGTCAATTTGTCGACGTAACAGTGTTTGAACTTTTGTAAGACTAAAACAGTACATGTGAAATCCTCGTATTAGAGGGAAATACTAGGGATGCACAATATTGGATTTTTGGTCGAAATCCGATACGCTGATATGTTAAAACTTATTTGGCCAATACCCGATACAAATACCGATTTGTTTTTTTCCTAGACCTGCGTACAGAGACTACATACAGTAGCTTTCTCTGCTGTGGAATTAAAATGCTACATTATTCTGCACGGTCTTTGTCAATTTAACCTGCAGATGCCAAAAAGGGGACTGAAAATGATGTAACACTTCAACTTGGATTATGTTTAATGTCAAATTGATTCATGACATTTACTCTCTCTAACACAACGACAACACTCGGACAGTGCAAATTTGTAAATTGTCACAAATTGAAACTCAACGGAGCGCGTGATGTTATAACGTGCTGGCGCTGCAGGCAAACTTGTCTGTCTGTCTGTCTGTCTGTCTGTCTGTCTGTCTGTCTGTCTGT